GGGGGGGGGGGGGGGATTATATTACATATCTGTTTGTAGAATTTCGTGACCTTCTTGCTTTATGCCTCACTTAACTTCTAGATATTGAGAACATAGTACTAAATATTAGAATCGAGACTTAGCATATATAACTTGATCAAATTTGATGGAATTATGAGAATACATTGATGCGTCTAATTCGGTCATCTCTATGCATAATCATTAATACATTGCTACAACCGATATTTTGAGATGCTAGATTCCATACTTGTGTTGTTGATGAATTGTGGGATTTGTGGAAGTACTTGAATTATATGGCCCTTGAGGGTTCATTGAATTATTGTTGGCTTGTAAAGTAGTGATTGAGAATTTGTTTGTAATATTCGTTGAACACTCTCCTCGATGTTATTTATACTTCCTGCCTTGCCATTTTATTGATATTCATATGCTTGGTAAGGAAGAGTGTAAAGCACGAAGGGTGATGTCGTGACATTTTATATTCATTATCATGTGAGGAAGAGTATAAAGCATGAAGGGTGATGTCATGCCATTTTATATTCATTATCATGTGAGGAAGAGTGTAAAACACGAAGGGTGATGTCGTGACATTTTATATTCATTATCATGTGAGGAAGAGTGTAAAACACGAAGGGTGATGTTGTGCCATTTCATTCTTATTGTTATGCTTTTAATATCGTGAGGTCATCGTACCATCTTTGTAAATTCCAAGTCTTAGAAGCTCATGGGCCATACTACCACGGTGTTACTCATTGAATTATAATTAGATGTTAAAATAGAAAAGTGCTATTGGGTGTTATGTGATAGAAGGATGGCTATCAAAGTGAAAGGTAAGTTTACATAACAATTATAAGACTAACAATATTATATGGTAAGGAGTGTTATATAGTAGAGAGCGTTGGACCGCTAACATTTAACATATCCACAAGACGAGTGTTGTAGATATACAAATGCTAATATGGATGTGCGGTTAATCGGTTATAGAAGATTAAATAAGATAAAAAATTATCATATTCGCTAGAGGTGCAAGTAACACGTATTGAGAATAAAATAAGAGGTCACTTCAGATGGCTTGATAATAACCTGTGCCAACCTACAGATGTACCGGTCTATATGTATGAAAGAAAAAAGTAAATTGCAAAATATATGGACAAAAATTTCTTTTATTTTCATAATATTAGGGTTTTGAATTTCAACAAATAGTAATTATACAAATGTGTTACATTTTATCTAATCAAGGATATTTAGCAATTTGAATATTAAATGGATTATTTTAATAATTTTATTTGAATTTGTTCAATTATGTTTAAGTATGTTTATTATTAAATTAGTTCAATTTCCCAAAATTTCTTTTATTTAAATAGTTAAAAGGAAATATAAAAGAGAAAACAGAGAAAAGAAAATATTAAAAAGACAATATTGGCCACCATCTTCCTAGGTTTCCAACTCCATATTAGGGGGTAATTGCGATATTAGTCTGAAAATTATAGAACCGGGCAAAATTCCCTCTCTTTTTTCCCCTTGTTTCAAATGGTACAGTTAGTTCCCTCTCTCACAAATCTGTTAGCAGGGCTCAATCCTCTCTTCATCTTCTCTCCGGAGCCAGTGGGGCGCAAACCGAAGAACAACGGTTCGTACTTTTCCATCCTCTTTCTTACTTCTATATGCTCTATATTGTCTTTGCTTATTTTCCGATATAGGGTTCCTAACCAGAATTGTTCTCGATATGTTTTTGGATCTATATAGTTACAAGTATTTGAGTTATATTTGTTTCAATTGTTGTGTACATTCCTTTATTTCGAGGTCCAATTGAAAATCTTACCCTTTTAAAAGTCATTGTTTTTGGGGAAATGCTTGTGCTTTTGAGAAAAAGAGTCTATAGTAAGAGGCTGTCTATTTGTATTAGGTGGTGTTCGAAATATCTCTTGTCTTTTATGGTTGATGGGGGTTGTTTGTACGTAATTGGATGGTGTGACGACCTGACCGGGCGTTTTAAAAATTTATGCCCCGATTCCCCATTAACTGTTTTCCCCAAGTTTATTTCTGCTATTTTGATTTGTCGGGATGTTCGGTTTTGAGTTTCGGATAGTTTTAGGACACTTAGTCCCTAAATGAGAGCTTGAGTGTTGGAAAGTTGATCGTAGTCGGAACAGTGTGAAGACGGCCTCAGAATGGAAATCCGATGGTTCCGTTAGCTCCGTTGGGTAATTTTGGGCTTAGAGGCGTGTTTAGATTGTGTTTTGGAGGTCCGTAGCTAATTTAGGCTTGAAATGCCGAAAGTTGAATTTTTGAAGTTTCCGGTTCGATAGTGAGATTTTGATCCGAGGGTCGGAATGGAATTCCGGAAGTTGGAGTATCTCCATAGTATTTAATGCGACGTGTGTACAAAATTCAGGTCATTCGGACGACGTTTGATAGACTTTTTGATCGAAAGCATATTTTTAAAGTTTTTGGAATTATTAGGCTTGAATCCGATAAAAATAGGAGTTTTAATGTTGTTTTGAGCGTTCTGAAGGGTGGAATAAGTTTGAATGATGTATTAGGATTGGTTGGCAGGTTTGGTTGAGGTCCTGGGGGCCTCAGGTGTGTTTCGGATGCTCAACAGGTCATTTTTGGACTTAGAGGATTGCAAAAAATGCAGTAGGTCTCCAGTTTTGGTTTCCTTCTTCGCGTTCGCGAAGAGGAGTTGGGGTTGGTGGAAGCTTAACGCTTTGCGTTTGCAATGATGGTCGCGTGTTCGTGAAGCTGAGAGGTCGTATGCCTACGCGTTCGCGTAGAAGGGTGAAGTTTGCTACCGCGTTCGTGACAGGGGCATCGCGTTCGCGATGAAGGACATCTGGGCCAAGAGAAGTTGCGCTTCGCGAACGCGATGGTCTTTCCGCGTTCACGAAGAAGGATTTACCTGGGTAGATTATAAAATTTCAAAGTCAAGAGTGTAGCCATTTTTATAAAAAATTGAGTTTGAGAGCTCGGATTTGAGCGAGATTTTGAGGAATTTTCAGAGATATCAATTGGGTAACGATTCCTTACTCCTTTTTGTTTGTAACCCATTAATCTAAACATGAATTCATCATTTAATTTCGGATTAGAGATGAAAATTGGGAAAAATTGGAAGAAAGTTTTTAGACCTAGAATTTGACTTTTGATTGGGAATTTGACCTTGGATTTGGATAATTTTGGTATGCATGAACTCGTGAGAGCGTGAGGATTCTGAAAATATAAATTTTACCCGATTACAAGACGTGGGCCCGAGGGGCGTTTTGGTCATTTTACCTAATTTTGCGTATTAGCTTAGAATTTTTTTGTAGAATCGGTTACTTGAAGTGTTATTTACATTATGCAATTGAATTAAATTGATTTGGGCCATTTGGCGTCGAGTACTCGTGGCAAGAGCGTGGTTTCGGGTTGATTTTGAGCCGGTTCGAGGTAAGTGGCTTGCCTAACCTTGTGTGGGGGACCTTTCCCCTTAAGATTTGGTATATTTGGTAATTGAAATGCCTTGTACGTGGGGTGACGAGTGCGTACTTGTGCTAATTGTTGGAAATCCGGTTTTTATTAAGTAATTACTAGTATGTTTCCTTTTCTGTTTTTATTACTCGCACTATTATGCCTGTTGTTAGCTTAAGAAAGCATGTCTAAGCGATTTAATTGCTTTATTTGCCTAAACTGCCTCACCTGAATTTTGTGCAGCATGCTAAGCTAGAATTACTTGTTGCCTTAATATGAAATTTGTCATTTCTGAATATTTTCCTGTTGCTGCCGTGTATTTACATTGGGATTACGGATGTGGGATTTCGGTAGCTCTCCCTTGTCTGTTTATTTGGGACTAAGGATGTGGGATTCCGGTAGATCCCCTTGCACAGTTATATGGAACTGCGGTACTGTACCCGGTAGATTCTCCCAGTACTGGGTATTTACATTTGGGGAATACGGAACGGGATTTCAGTAGATTCCCAGCGCATTATGAGTTAGACTACGGGACGACACCCGGGAAATCCATTGGACATTTACATTTGGGGGCTACAGGACGGTATCATGATAGATCCCCGGTTGCTATCTTATTATTGAGCTGTGTTCCCTCGGTGATTATTTTGCCTCTGTTCTAGTTGTTGTTGCTCTTTCTGTTCTATGTTATTTCTTACTGTTGCACTTAATTATACTGTCTTGTTCTACACTGTTATACTTTGTATTTTATTTAACCTCAGTAGGGCCCTAACCTTCCTCGTCAATACCCGACTGAGGTTAGGCTTGACACTTACTGAGTACCGTGTGGTGTACTTATGCCCTTTCTACGCATGTTTTTTATGTGCAGATCTAGGTACCTTGACTCAGACTTACCATCCTTGAGGCGAGGCGACCGTTCGGAGACTTCGAGGTATATCTGCCGCATCCGCAGATCGAGGAGTCTTTCTCCACTCTCTCTTATAGTTACCGCCCTTCTGTATTTATTTTGTTTTAGACTATTCTGGAGTTAGAGCACTATGTAGTGATCCTTAGCTTGTGATTCATGGGTTTCCGGGTCTTGGAGATATGTATTGGTTTCTGAGAGTTAAATATCGTGTATGCCGAACGACACTTTTAAACATTGTCTTATTACTCTAATTCTGTTTTAAATTGTTTTACTTCTGCAAATTAATTTATTTTTCGCAATTTAGGCTTACCTAATCGTAGGGACTAGGTGCCGTCACGATGGTTCACGGAGGGCGAATCGGGTTCGTAACAGATGGATTGTGTGCTTAGGATGCCGGGTACAACGCAATGCACTCTTTCTATTTTGTCTGTCTTGTTATTTTTCCCCTTTTATGGGGTTTGATGATTATATTCTTTGGATGGCTAATTTTATACACTGCAAGAAGATTCTAAGTAATTACTTTGTAAATTTTGAGAATATTTTGTTCCTTAATTAGAAAGGACATCAAATGAGTTCTATTGTACGTGTGCAACTACTGCATCCTTGTACATCATGGACAGTTGGAAATATGAGTACAATTACATGAACTTTAGGTGATTGTTGTAGATATTTACCCACTGAATCAAAGGGCATTCTAACGCAATGAACTGATCATCCAGGATTTGAGCTAATCGCCATGGTAAAGCACCCTTTGTGGTTTGTTTACTTCTACAAATGTATTTGGAGTTTGTTTATCAGAAGTTGTTTTAATAGTACTTTTGAGCAACTTTAACTATGAATTGATTGTTGGACCAATATTAACAAATATTACTGGGCCGATAATGGTGACAACTTCTTATAAGTTACAACACATATCTCTTGTCACTCTAATCCTGTAACAGACCAACTTCTTTCTATCCTTGTGCACAACTATCTTTTATTTCAGAAAACAAGCTTCGCGAGTAATCATCGTCTTACATTAAGTAAAGTACTACATTAAACTTTGGCTAGCAGTTCCGCCTTTGTATTTTTGAAGCCTTATCTAACGTATCTAAACATGTCTTATCATTATAAAAGCTATTCGATGATTAGTCGGAGTAAGTGCTACAGATCATATTAAGAAGTAACATTGTCATATCACACATGACCTGTTTGGCTCAAAGAAGCATGGTGATTCTGTATCCATTCATGTAATGGATATATTTATAGTATTTTACCCTGTGAGTTCTAGTTTAGTACTTTTCATTTGCACAAAGTAAAAAATGGAAGTTCTTTTATTTTTATTTTTATTTTTTTTTGTTTTTGCAACTTTTGCTAGTTCTAGGTTTTTGATGTTGTATGCCCTGCTCTTCAGTTTTGCTTTATATAGTTGAATTTAATAACAAGAAAGCATGTATGTAATTACAAGCAACTAAACTTTTATGATTTTTATTTTATCGGTTAACAATTTTCTTCGTTTGTACCTTACATTCAATTTAATTATAATGTCAAGGTGATGTAAATCCATCGAGGGATAAATCCTTTACCAGTGCAAAGGTATTGATAGGCTGTTTTTATAGCATTGAGGAGTAAGTTATGTTTCTTACCTCATTTCTTGGCTAGGCATTTTTTTCAGAGAAACTTAATATTTATATAACATGCTTCTTAATATAGGAAGCTGCACCAATTGAAGAACATTTGCAGCTTTGAATATCAGTTGGATTGAAGCAAAGAAGTGGTAGCCTTGAGAACAATAAATATGGTTGGCTCAATGACAACTGCTATATGGCTCAAGCAGGTATAAACTTGAGATACAACTTTAAACTCACAGCTTACATAAATTAATGATTTTAGTTATAAATTGATGGTTATGTATTTTCTTATTCCTAGGACTATTGTTTATAGAAATATCAGTACAATAATATATAGAAATAATAAGAGTCCTTGGCATTCTTATTGTATGAGGTGACGTGTAAGGACTACTGACCCCTCCCTGTAGACTGGGTGGGCTTTATTCCCTTACTCCCTTATGAGACACAACCATTCAAGCTTGCTTAAGATTTATATATCTCTAGCTTACCTTAGTGCCCACACATATTGGAATTCCATACAACTCATATGATCTTGAATATCACTCCTGATTTACTTCCCGTTCATTAGCCACGGTAGGTGTCATTTTCTTATGGAGTGCATGCAATGTTGTTGTAAGACTGTTATTATAAGACCATTCCCTCTTCTTTTTTTCTTTTTGTCTATAGTATAGTTATCTTATAAAATATAATATTAACATTCACATTGGTAAGAAAATTCAAGTTAATAAGATGTTAGCCACGTATTTACAATTCGTTATCTCGGATTTTATTGTAAAAAATGTTATTTATCAATATGAAGATTTAAGTATCTTAATTCAAAGTTCTAAAATATTTCTATTAATAATAAATAGATAGTCTTTCTTTCCATTTTTATAAAGATTTAGTATTTTTTTTTTATAAACTTCGTCTAAGCGAAAATAAGATAGTAAGTTCACAACTAAAAATATTTTTGGGGCCCCAAAATTTAGGGGCCCTAAAGCAAAGGCTTTACTATTGAGTCACCCCTGCCACTAGTCTAGATTCGTGTCGCGGTTCCCAAAGGGGGAAAATGATGTCATTTTCTTTATAACTATGTTAACTTTAACTTCATATTAGTCGCTCCAATTTCCAAATAACATTTGGACATTATTATTTAATCTTAGTACTTACAATATTTAATCAAAATACTTCCGAATTTGCTATTCTGATACAATGGAATTAGTCACAATGTCTTGCTAATATACAAGTTTTGATTTGCAACTATGCACAAGTTACATGTCACATTAGTAAAAGAGTAATGAATACTTATTACATATGAAACTTCTATATAGGTCACAAATTCAATGTTACTGGCAGGGAATCAGGAGACCTTGGAGAGGAGTTGAGGGGAAAAGACTGTTGTTTTGGGAAGAAAATACTAGTGTTCTTCTCGACCTGCATGTCAACTGTCGTGGTCAATAATTGTAACAGTAAAAATAGTGAGACAAGGTTGGGCCAAAGCAGTGAAAAACCAAGGTGCAAGATGGCTCAACGACAATAGAGGATTCTCATTTTCAGCTAAACTACGCGTACAAGAAAACATGGGTAATTCCCCTTTTTGTTGGTACAAAAGAAGAGAGCTGTGCGCATGAAAACAAAATATGCAAATTTTCCTACCATGGGAGAGCAAATAATGCTAATTGTTCAATGGAAGTAAGAAGCAAATGGCACTTGCAAATTGGCAAAATGGCACTGTCGTGTGTGATATTTTCCTTGGAATACAACTGACTCCATTGCACATAGACAAAGGATGAGGAATTGTCCTCAAGGTTACGTGTATCAAAGGCAACTAAAACACTAGTTGATTAACCAACTTTTATATATATATATGTTCGGCTATCTTTACACGTACCTCGACTAATTTTACGAGTACCTGCCAGTTGGTTAACCACCTTCTTGTGCTTTCTCTTCCTGATGCTATCCTTATTGTGGGATTGTACTCTTCCACTTCACTTTGTTTTGTGCTGATTTTGGACAACTTAATTCCTCTTTAGCTTTCATGTAGGAGCTACACAACTTCTAAACTATATTCAAATGAATAATTAAGACCTCTTATTTTGTATGGTAGTTGTTCTGGATCACAAATGTCAGAGTATATGTCTTTTACTATCTTGGAAAATAAGATGGGGGTATCTAAGTTTTTAACTATGTTTAGTCGGCCAATGAAATATAAGCATATATTAAAAGATTGAGGAAATTAAAGGCCTAATTATTTTCCCGCCTTCATATTTTATATATGCACTTTGCTCGGGCATTAGTGACGAGTAATAATTGTATTTACTTACTGTTTTTACTTAGAAGGGAAGTCTTTGAACGGCAAAGTTATTTTCGTGTGACCTATAGGTCATCGGTTTGAGCTGTGGAAGCAGTCAATACTATTTGTATTAGGTTAAGATTCTCTATATCACACCCCTTGGGGTGCGCCCCTTCCGTGGACCCTACACGAATATGGAATATCTTGTGCACCGGACTGCCCGATTAGAAATCCGACCAACACCACCACTTAACTAAAACATCATTGGTTCTATATATGCGTAGGACAAGGATGCATTCCATTTTACCATCAATTATAAGGTCCCTTTTCCAATATTTGAGTTTCTTTTTTCTTGAAAATTCATGCTCCCATGTTTAGTAAAGTGAAAGACAATGAATGTCACCAATACAGGATACGAATAAAGTCGTTTGTGTAGAGAAAACATGCTTCCAATTACTTCTATTAAACCATATGCAAACATACCAAATTTTGAAATTGAAAAACATAAAATGATTGAAAATTTGCAACTACAATCCAAGAAATGATAAGATTAATTATTCCAAGTCCCCCTTTTATGCAAGTATAAGGGAGCTAGGGAGGTTTAACATTCACTTTGATTTTTATTTTTCTTCTTATGTTGGTGAAATTCAGGAAACATACTGATCTTATAGGGCCACTGCAATCTTAATGGACCACAATGAGGAGATGACTTTGGGTAAAATACTAAAATTAATAAGGAAAAACTATAGTATTTAGCCACTCCTTTCACATTAGACAAAAATGCCCCAACTGTAATACAAAATCGGTGCTGGATTTCAAAGACTAGACTAGTGAAACTATAGCACATTGTATTAAAGTTTAAAAATATCCTATAAGTTAAACTCCAGTACATAGTGCTAGAGTTCGAAAACACTTCTGACCAGTGAAAACACCCAAAAGCTAAATTTACCTTGAATTTTTCATTGATTTCTGTAGCAATAATAGTTGAAGACCAGCGATTAAGATTCCGCCACCAAGGAATGCATAAGCAAATTCACTACGTGAAGACCAACAACTAAGATTTCGACTCTCTTCTTCTTTGGTTTTTTAGTATCAATAATCACGAAAGATGAGTTCAATCAACCAATTTGAGAAACAATAGGAAATACCAGGGGTCAATGGATATTTAAAAATCCATTAAACTAATCGAACTGTATCGCACTGAATTAATTTTGGGTTTTTAAAAAAACCGTAAGTTTTTATAGAAATTTATTACCATAGAGATAATTAGGATAAGTTTTGTATTTTACAAAACTAAACCGGAAAAATAATAAATTGTACCGAATAAATTTTACATGTGAAAAATATATTTATATGGTAAATTTAAAAATAATAAAGCATTAAATTTTTCCTTGGACCTTGGAATTATGAAAATGGTTACAAATCAACGAGTAATTTAACTCAAAATATTAATTCCTAAAACCTATTATGCTACTTCTACTTAAACTAAGTTATTTCGAGCATCTAGACACAAAGCATTTTAGTGATTATGAGTAGCAAACTATAATGCAGGGGCGTATCTAGGGGGTTCCATGGGGCACGTGAACCCATGCTCCCCGCCCTAAATCATGTATACTAAAGCTATATTTTTTTCAAAAATATTTAAATATATGTGTATGCACACATGCTCAAGATATTATATGATGTGATGGTTATTAGGTGTACCCCTCTAGGTGAGGTTGTGAGTTTAAATCTTATGTCAATCTTGTTTTTTTTTTTTTTGCTAGAAGTAGACGCCCATGGGAGATGGGCGTGTCTGGTGTTATTTTTTTTTGCATATTAATTAAGTAATTTTTTTGTTTGTTTTATTCTTTCAAAATTTTCACATATTGAAATTGCTATTCTTCTTCTGTCGCTGTAAAATCTTATATGATTAAACAAAATGTGTATATTAAAAGTAGTAGCAGTGTATGATGTAGNATATATAAGAAAATTACTATTTTTTAAGAATAATAATTTTGAACTTATAATTCCAAAAGTGCAATGGGCACGCAATCGTAAGAACTAAAAGTTGAACCCGTAAAATTTATATTCTAGATCCACCTCTTCTTACAGTTTGTTTGGATGATTGTTACATATCGTTTCATAATGTATCGTATTGTATCGTATTGTATTGTACTGTATCGTTTGATGAATACAATGTTTGGATGAATTGTGTCGTTTTGCCGTCATTTCATGGTATTATCCACCAGTAATATGATGAATAAACTTGCAATATTACAAAGAAAAATTATAATACGGTATATAAAAAGTTAGGGTAAATGATAAAATAAAATTATTTAATAATAATGAAGGGTGAGATTGAGAGAAAAACACAAGGAAATGACGCGACCACACCAAATCGGTCGTTACATAAAGTGATACATTTCATCGTTACGTAACGACGGATTTAGCGATACGATACAATAAAATTTAAGTAACAATCAAAACAAACATTGTATTTAAAGTAACAATACGATATGATACAATAGGTAACAACTATCCAAACAAGCTGTTAATAGTGCACCCATCCTGCCAAAATTCTGGATCCGCCTCTGCTACAATGTATTGAACATGTTTCCTTTCATATAATTTAGATTTATCTTTTTGAATATTTAATCTTCTATAGACTTTACTCTTGAGTCTCAACTTGGTTAATATCTTTTCACTCGTGTGATTTATATTTTCTTTATCTTTGCTTGATTTCTTTTACGTTGCTATAGAATAGTTGATGGATCTATACTCTGGCCATCTTTTATATTTTTTTAATTCATCACTCTTTAAATAGTAAAAGTTGCTAGAGAGTTTTGCTAAGTCCTATAAAAGGACATATGTTATTGCATTCTAGTTCTAGTGGTGACTTTTACATGACATTCAAAAAATACCAAAATTAACCGAACTGTATTGTCACGTCCCAAACTACCCCCTAGACGTGACTGGCACCCAGCTAACTACTCGCCAGGCGAACCATATTTTCTTACCTTATCCATTAATTTGCAGTATTTGATTAATCAAATGAGTATCCAAATAATATGACAATTAATTACGAACAATTAATATCTTGAAATATTATACTGAAACTCTAGCCCATATCTCAGACTAGACCATGGAGCATCTAAGAGAATTACAAAAGACATCATATGAATATATAATAAAAATTCTTTTGGCAGCCTCCACGAATAATGCGGCGGCTTACCTCAATAACTGAATCAACTCTAGCGAACTCGTCAGCTACTAGCTCCGTCTTCATCAATAGTATATGCATGGACATGCAGGTAAGGAGTGAGTTATACGTAAATATAACCCAGTAAGATCATCGACCCACCAAACTGAATAACTGTGGAACAAGTTTTAGAAAATACAAATACACAACGAGCGCATAAATCTTTCATCATATAATTTCTCTATAAGGTCCAAACAATTATGCAATAATAATATTATTTATATCTCAACACAATCTACATTAAGAACTTGTCATTAACGACATTGCAGGAAATTAATCAAACACCCCGACGAGTCCACATCAGCATACACAGTGCCTCAAATCTATCACGGCGACATACACAATGTCTAAAATCTATCACCGCAGCATACACAATGCCCTAAATATATAGCGGCAGCATATACAGTGCCCTAAATCTATCACGGCGGCATACACAATGCCCCAAATATATTACGGCAGCGAAAAAATAATTTCTAATGCCCCAACAAGCACAAGGCTACGCCACATCACACTACACTACAAATCACTTATTAAATAATTTTAGCTTTTTACAAAATAATATATATTTGTGGCTGGTCAAATACCGCCGATTCTGCCAAGCGCACGCTCGTTCCAACACATGGACTAGGTAGAAAAAAATTATACTTTCAAAACAAATTTTAGAAAAAGCAAACACCCAAAGTTTAAAGTCTCTCTTACCTTGCTAACGGGAAGTTTCTCAACCTTACAACATCTAGAATACCAGCTAAACGGTTTCCAATGACCTCAATCCATCCAAAATATTAAATAACACGTCCTAATTAGTCTAGTTGAGTAACTTTCATAAATTTAGGACAAGCCAAAATTAAAGCCAAGATCTAATTAATAAAAATTTGTATACAAATAAATGCCAAACTAGGTACTGTAACGCTGCAATGTAACGTCTTAGAAGAACTCACCTGCTTATACCATTCCTTTCTAACATGCAAATATCTACAACTTTCATATAATAGTTAAATTCCTAACCATTATTCTCATTATTTTTAGCTTATGCATTACTAAACTCATGACATAATGATTGTTCCTATATTCTAATGTACTAACTGATACAAATTCGTTACTGAAGCAAATCAGTATAAAAATCTTGTTTTCAAATTCCTAAATCTTATATCTCATCTTTAAAAGTCACTCCTCATTATAATTATTTCTTTTTATCATTGTCTTAATCATTATCAAAATATACATTGATAATTATATTACTACTATTTAATTAATTATGCTACTAAAGGATAGGAATAGATATAAATTTACCTGATCACTTAGGTTCCTTCACTAGCTTCTCATGTAGAAGTTAGTCAACTTAAACAGCAACGCTTTGTCTCTTTCAATTACTGTGCGTCATTGTTTGCAAGCCTTTTTGTATTATTTTATCTCCTTTATGCTCTCCGATTAGTTACGACTGATGGTGCCTCTTTAGAGTTAATGTGTTTTTTCGGGCATTTGTATCTATACCCGTTTTTTATGTCATGTTTTAATTTGTGTCCGCTTTGCAAAAAAAAAGTACAAGCGTACTCGCTTTTAC